AGTTCCTTATTCGAATAAGGAACTGGGAACTGGGAACTGGGAGCTAACTTCCCTGAGCTGCACGTAAAGTGGGTCGCACACCAGCCGATTTTTCACGCGATTTGATCGGCCCGATAGAAATCAGCCGATATCGGCTAGGTGTGCGCGTTCATTTGTAGACGATTTTACTTACGATTATTTTTATCGGGTGATCGTTCCAAATCAAACATGTTTGATTTTGAACCGATTATTTGGAAGCGATTTTGTGTAAACCGACAAGATTTTGTGGTGTACGCGTGAACTCAGGAAAATCGTCTACGATAAATATTGAACAGCCAATAGCTGAACGTGCCCGTGTCACATGACATTTACATTTTATCGTAGGTTTATTATGACATCACATTTTATCGTTGGTGTGCGGGTGTTTATCGGAATGCGTCGCGCTGAGCCGATTTTACAAACGATGAAGAGATTTTTTAATCGGATCGATTTTTGGGTAGGTGTGCGACGGCCTTAAGTCGTCACTCTACGCCTGTGTTCAACTGACATAGCGAATACCAAAAACTTACGCAAATACGGCGCTAGTATATATTGTATGTACGAGACACCACACAGTATAAAATGGAACATAAAGATACAATAAAACTATTAAATATTACGGAAGCCGCCTAGTGCCGGCGCGGTCACGTTTTTCGCAGCCGGCGCCGTCACCTTTTTCGCAGCCGGCGACGTCACCTTTTTCGTGGTCGTCATCGTCATTTTTAGTCGACGTCGTCATCATTACTCGCCCTGACAAGGCTAAAACACAGCACCGCGAGCGAGCGAAAACACGGCGCCGATTCTGCTCGCTCACCACCGCCGCCGTGTTTTCGCTCGCTCGCGGTGCGAAAAAGGTGACCGCGCCGGCTAATCAAAAGGTGACGGCGCCGGCTACGAAAAAGGCGACCGCGCCGATTCTGCTCGCTCGCCGCCGCCGCCGCCGTGTTTTCGCTCGCTCGCGGTGCTGTGTTTTAGCCTTTGGCCTCTCGCCTCAGAGCGAGTAATGATGACGACGTAGACTAAAAATGACGACGACGACAACGAATAACGTGACGTCGCCGGCTGCGAAAAAGGTGACCGCGCCGGCTGCGAAAATCGTGACGTCGCCGGTTGCGAAAAACGTGACCGCGCCGATTCTGCTCGCTCGCCGCCGCCGCCGTGTTTTCGCTCGCTCGCGGCGCGAAAAACGTGAACGCGCCGGCAGTAAAACGCAGTGAACGCTTGTTTTGACAGCAGAACGAAATTTAAGGGGGATGCACAGACAAAACCCCGTCTAAAAATTATGAACATTTATTCGGATATTTTATAAATATAATGTATAATAGGCCCTATAATTAATAGGTTTTATAATTTATAAATTCAGATGTTTTATAAATAGGGAATAAATGCTGCCTTTGACGGACTTGTATGCTATTTATGATTGCATGACTAGAGGAAAATAATATGTCCACAATTAATTGAACACCTAAATTTTACGTACAACATTATTTTTGTAAGCTTGGTACAATCAAAATCTGTTCGATAATTGTTACTAAAAACTCGTGTAAACATAACAGCTGACATATATTTCAATTAATTTTTAGCTCAGTGTTGTGATAACGATGAAAATATTATTTGTAAATATAAAAAATGCGAGCGCCCATAATTAAGCCATAATAAAGGTTGACAAAATTTGCACAATGTTGCGCATGGCGCTACTAAATCCCGATGACCAAGTTTCCCGTTATATGATGAGTCGATGTCGGCAAAGTCTTGTTGATATCTTACTATAAATTGGGGATTTTCTGTGTGTGTGTGTGTGTGTGTGTGTGTGATGTGTTATGCGCGCCGCGCTGCGAGTGTGTGTGTATGCGTGTTTTTGTTGTATGTGTATGCGTGTGTGTGTGTGTATGTGGTGTGTGTGTGTGTGTGTGTGCGTGTGTGTTGTGTGTGTGTGTTTGTGGTATGTGTGTGTGTGTGGTGTGTGATAGTGTGTGTGAGTGTGTGTGTGTGTGTGTGTGTGTTGTGCGCGCGCGCGGGCGGCGCGGTTTGTGTGTGTGTGTGTGGTGTGTGGTGTGTGGTATGTGGTGTAATGTGTGTATGTGTATGTGTATGACATGTGTGATGTGTATGTTGTGTGTGTGTGTTGTGTGTGTGTGTGTGATGTGTGTGTGTGTGTGTAATGTGTGTGTGTGTGTGTGTGTGTGTGTGTGTGTGTGTGTGGTGCGCGCGCAGCGTTGTGTGTGTGTGGTGTGTGTGTGTGTGGTGTGTGGTATGTGGTGTATGTAGTGTATGTGTATGTGTATGTGTAATGTTGTGTGTGGTGTGTGTGTGTGTGTCGTGTCGTGTGTGTGTGTGCTGTGTGTGTGTGTGTATCGTGTGTGGTGGTGTGTGTGTGGTATGTGGTGTGTGTGCTGTGTGTGTGTGTGTGTGTGTGTTGTGTCTGTGGCGTGGTAACGCGCGTAACGCGGTGTGTGTGCGCGCACGCGGCGTGTGTGTGGAATAATGGATTACCATAATAAAAATCCCTGCATTTCGGGTCACCGGTCTCGCCCATAAGCATAAACTTTACGCGTAGGCAGGGCAAGGCTAATAAAAGCAGCAACTAGCTCCTCCAATTAGCGCGGTCAGTGACAACGATAACCGCGTCTTCCGAGTGCTTTAGGATCAGGGCCGTGGCAGGGATAGTTTGGCTGATACCCTACTAGGGCATTATCACAAAACTCATGTAGGGTTTTGTTCCCAGTTGGCTGAATTGGAGAGCGAGCCCCGTAATAACGAGAGCCTACTGTGACACCTGCAATTGAAAGATTAACTGAATATTATGAATATAATCTCCCAAACCCACATATGATCGCGATCATTCAAATACGTTCATATCATCAGTTACAATAGCTACGGCTTATAAACATTAGTGTGAACACACGCGTGCGATTAATGAGTTATACATTCACAAATTTCGGACTAAGAATTGAAAGATAAGATATCTAAAGGTAAGCGAGAATTTGAACGTGATGTTTTAAGATCAGAATACATCATTATATAATTTATAGTTAATTGGTAGCTAATAATATTCGTTTTTAAGTCTTGTACACTTGCATCCACATGATGAATGAAATTTTTCGCATGTTGGAGTCCGAACTAAAATCGTGATATTTGCTCTCGTGACTTCCCATCGGTTGTCGTAACTCTATAAGACTGAAGCAGACGATCGACATATGCTTTTCAAGCGGTATTGGCATATATTTATTTACACTCTTTCATTATCTCTACATAGTGTAATTAGGATATATCTCGTATGGATCTAGGCACCGTAGTCGATATCAGTCATTTTCAATTTATTTATTTAATTATGATTCGAAAATACTTTTCGCACGAAATTTAGTTTACTTTCGATCGCCCTGGTAATCAATACATAGGCGATGTAGTCCTAAAAGATAATAAAATAACTATACGTTCCGTAAAAACTTATTAGTTGTTTAATAGGTATAATAATGCCTTGATATAGCTCACGGCTGCCAGGATCTGATATTGATCTGCACCTTTAAATGCTGCTTGAGATCAATGTGGTCTGGATAGGCTTTCCTGTTTCTCCTTCGCGACTCTTCGCAGGGCGTGTTCGCACTCATCCATTCCTCCGTCTTGAGCGTAGAGCCAACGAGGAGACTCGCGGGATAATACTGCAATAATTTACACTGCTATTATACGCACGATTCTTATTGTAGAGTTTCTGATTGATGTTTGAATATCTAATCTGAATAATAGAACCGCTAGTCGAAAATTTCACATTATACACATCTCAGTAATTGGAATCTAGATAGTTTTCGATGATATACGGTGAATATAAGGTACTTTTACATTACGATTACTATCATATTTAATACATTATTGAGCTATTTACTGTATATGA